AGAGAAGAAGAACTACACGGGGGAGGGGGTATAAAGCCCACCCGCTGTACATGAGGCGTTTGTTTACTTTCCGACCTCAGACATGATGGAGTTCACTGAGCTTGTTGTCTTTGTGCTCATGTTATACAGCTTTGTAACTGGGTTATTGCAGCCAACTAGGGATTTGATCCACTCGTCGGATGCTGTAAGTGCAATGCTGGTTCGGAATCAGAGTCTAACGGGGCGTGGTTTGCAATTCGCCCAGCCAATAGAAATAGAATAGAAATTGGCACTCTTTTATCACCAGGTTCGTACCACCTCTCTAGCAGGGACTGAAAATGGCCAAAAGAGTTCCCTGCACTGAGTAGTCCCGGCGGTGTGAACGTGACATTATTGGTACTAACGGAACTAAAGAACCAAAGTACCAGGGAAAGTCCTGCGGTGTGAATGCGGCTATAGAGACTGTTTCTCAGAGTACCGACTTTGATCTCAGTATTCCCAGTTTTTTTTGTTTTTTTTAATGATTTTTGGAATACCAACTTTTTTCTCAGAATGTTGAGATTGAGGTCAGAACTCAGATTTAAAAAGAAAAAAATAGAATTATTATTTTTCTCGGAATTCTGATTTTTTTCTCAGAACTCCAAAAGAAAAACGAATGAACTTTTGGTCAGATCTCCGAAATGTTCAAATGTGTCCCAAATCCTCTTCCGTATGTAGCTACAGAGTGCCGTCTCTCACCTGGTCAGCTGCTCACTTATTGTACCTGTACCCACTAAGTCGGATCTGGTGTCTGCAGCACCACACAGAGAACCACAGAAGAAGAACTCACCCTGATTTCCCTGAGGACGAGAGGAAGAACGTCTTCATGGATTTATCTGAAGGAACGTAGAACATGAGAGCTTCAGAGAAACACCTTTATTCTGACAACATGAGAAGACACCTTCATCTGAGAACATCAGCTCAATGGGTTCATAAAGAACAGAATAAAACACTTCGATTTTATTATTAATATATTATTTATTATTATTCATATTATTCATTATTCATATTTTTGTATTATTATTTGTAGTATTGTTCAAATTGTAGTTTTTATATTATAGTTTTTATTTTCTCATAATAATGGTCGGTACCTTCCAGGAGGATCTCCACGGTAACCTGCCTGCTCCCCTCCTGATTGGTCGCCTGGCAGGTGTAGGGGCCGGCGTCCTCCTCTCTGACTCCGCCCACCTTCAGGCTGAAGTATCCCCGCCCCCCTCGCTCCACCACGCAGCGCTCTCCTCCAATCACAGCCCTGCCCTCTCTGAGCCATGTGACCTGAGGCTCTGGGTGACCTCGCACCTGAGGGAGGACACACCTGGTCAGATACATGTCCTTAGTCACAGCTGGAAGAGAGGGGGGGGCTACAAGGATCTGTTTGGGGTTTGGAGCAGGACACTTCAGAGACATGTCCTTAGTAACAGCTGGAAGAGAGAGGGGGGGGGCTACAAGGATCTGTTTGGGGTTTGGAGCAGGACACTTCAGAGACATGTCCTTAGTAACAGCTGGAAGAGAGGGGGGGGGCTACAAGGATCTGTTTGGGGTTTGGAGCAGGACACTTCAGAGACATGTCCTTAGTAACAGCTGGAAGAGGGGGGGGGGGCTACAAGGATCTGTTTGGGGTCTGGAGCAGGACACTTCAGAGACATGTCCTTAGAGAGCTGTAGTATCTGCCTGGAGGTAGCACAGTAGGATTCTTTAATTCCCCACACAGTGAAAGGTGAGGTAAGTTTATTTTTCCGACACAGAGGGAATTCAAAGTCTTTGTTTTCAGATTCATAAAAGAGAAACAGAATAGTTTAAAAACCACATTGTAAATACAGCAGATGCTAAAGAGTTCAGAGGCTTCTGGGTAAGCAGCTGAAACACGTCTCCAAAGAAGTCAGCGTTGGTGAAGACTCAGGTTCTGGAGTGTGTTCCATGCGTGGAGAGCATGGAGACTAAAAGCAGCTTCGTGTGTTTGGCTCTGAGCCGAGGGACAACGAGTAAGACTGAAAGTGTCTCTGCAGGACGTCCAGACGGAGGCTCCTCTGCACCTGCTGCGTCTGAAGGTGCACGTTGAGAGGAAGCAGCTGGAGGTGCTGATGCAGGACTCTGAGGCCGAGCTGACCCGAGAGAACAGACACCTGGCAGGGACGGGCAGTGAGAGGCTGGTCCGAGAGCACCGGGTGATTAACAGCTGTTTCCATCTTTTAAATGTGTTATTCATTTAACTCTTCAGTAAAGGGAACTGAGAAACTCCACACCACCACTCTGTGCAGAATAAATACCATTCCCATCATTATGCTATACAACATGTGCCATATCATTATGATTCATTATGATGTTCTTTAATAACGTGCAATGACGCATCTGCCACTACGGGTTGTTGCACTGCTCGTCACTGTCCAGACGGTCACATGATGAGACCGTCTGTTCCCTGAGGATATCTAACTGCTCTTTGCTCCACACTGTTAGTGTACGGTTGGATCATCATGCTGCTGGGTTTATCGTGTCTAACTCTGGCTCAACTATTTCCTTCAGGATGAATAAAGTCCTATCTTATCTTATTTCCAAGACATTCATGAGCACATCTCTGGAAAACTCACAGAGAGACTTTGCTTGATTCTTTGTGGAGATCAGTTCCACCCCTCTGTCATCCACTAACTCAATAAGCAGCCCTGTAGTAGGACTCAAGCTGCTCACCTCAGAGCCAAGAGTCAAAGTCAACTTCATTATCAGTCTTTCAGTTTGTGTGCACAGAGAGATCGAAATATCCCACAATCCAGAGGAATACAAAATATAAGAATGTGTATAAAAACGAAGGTAACTGGTTCTGCTTTCCTCCAGGCGTTCTTCCGGGATCAGGGCCCTCTGTCTGTGTGTGAGAAGAGGCTGCAGACAATGGAGGAAACGTGCCTGAAGCTCCCTGAAGGAGACGCTGCTCTGCAGACGCTGGAAGGAGCCAGGAAGGACTTCTGTGATCTGAAGCAGGAGATACAGAGCACGCATCAGAAGCTGCTGCAGCACCAGGACAAGTGGAAGGAGTACAGCGCCAGGTGACAGCACTTCTCTATATACCAATGCATCTATTAGTTTGAGTTCAGAGACAAGTGGAAGGACTACAGCGCCAGGTGACAGCACTTCTCTATATACCAATGCATCTATTAGTTTGAGTTCAGAGACAAGTGGAAGGACTACAGCACCAGGTGACAGCACTTTGAGTTCAGAGACAAGTGGAAGGAGTACAGCGCCAGGTGACAGCACTTCTCTATATACCAATGCATCTATTAGTTTGAGTTCAGAGACAAGTGGAAGGAGTACAGCACCAGGTGACAGCACTTCTCTATATACCAATGCATCTATTAGTTTGAGTTCAGAAAACCTAAAGATTCAGACTTTTTCTCAAAATCTCAAAATCCTGAATTTTTTCTAAAAATCTCAAAATTCTGACTTTTTCCTCGAAATTTTGACTTTATCTCAAAATTCTGACTTTTTTCACAAAGCCTAAAGATTCTGCCTTTTCCTAAAAATTCTGACTTTCTCTCAAAATTTCGAAATTCTGACTTTTTCTCAAAATTTCAAAATTCGGACTTTTTTCTTAAAATCTAAAAATTCTGTATTTTTCTCTGTTTGTGTTGCATGCTCGGGCTTTGGATATTCATGATTCATTAAGTATCCTGCAGTCCTGTTGGGTTTG